GCTAGAAACACAACAAATAACAAATCCCAACTAAAAAACAAAATAGAAATTCTGAAAATAAAAAAGAGAATAAAAAACTAAAAAGAATAAAAAGTTGATAAATTAATACTTGAAGTTTTCTCTTTTTTTGGAGAGTGACCAATAAAATAGATTCAACTATTAGCTAGTTTAATTGAGAGACAGAAAGACAGATTAAATAATCATTATCAAAAGTGAAATAAGAGAATTCACAGCAAATAAAGAAATAAAAGGAAATATTAGAAACTATCTTAATCAATTATATTCCAAGAAAGCTTACAACTTAAATGAAATGGCATAATATTTACAAAAATAAAACATGTTTAGGTTAACATCATAAGAAATAAAAAAAAAAACAAATCTCAGAAAAATAAAGTAAGCCACATATCAATTCCCAAAGGGAGAAATCCCATATGGATTTAAGAGTAAATTTTCATCCAACAGTTAATGTCATGTTATATTCTCCAATATTATATTATATATCCAATAGTACATATTATTGTATAATATATTGTTATGTATTCTTAATATTCAATAGTATATATTATTCAATATTATAAAAATAATTACAAAAATAGGGAAAGAAGGGATCCTGCTAAATACCTTTCATACAAACATGGTCTTGATGCTTCAACCAAGGAGAGACAGAGATAGGAAACTATGTTTAAATGTCCCTAACCAATACTGATGCAAAATTTTAAAATAAAATATTATCGAGAGATTGCAGAAACAAGTTAAAATGATTACACACTACTATCAAGTTGGATTTATGCTAAGAACACAACAGATTCTTGCAATAAAGTTGCCAGAAGAAAATTAGAGAATCATTGAACAATTTTTTGAATGTGCAGAATAAAATAGAAAGGGGGTCAGAAGTAAAATAGACAAGCAAGATAGCTTGGCAAGTTGCCATATTCCCTTTAAGTATAAGAAAAAGCAAGGTATACACAATAGATATTCAAGAATTTATATACATTCCTTTTTCTATTCTACTTTGTATATGAAAATGCTCATTTTGGTTGGTGTTTGTTAAACTCAGAATAGAAAATAAAAAGAATTGTAAAGCTCGTAATAAACTTAAGTTGGTATGAGAAACTAAAGACAACAAAAATGATGGGATTTTTGGAAGTTTTTTCTTTTTTTTCCTTCTTTTTTCTTTGGAGGGGGGCTATGCTGACAGACAGAGAGGAATCAATGAAAGGATCATGATAACTGAAAACAAAGAGAAAATGGATCTACTCAGTTTTTAATTTGTTTCTTTTTCATCTGCCAAAAGGAATGACCTTTTCAGGAGAAATGACAGAACAAAAAGACTAATGGAGTTGATAACTAAGCAGAAAGTAAGAACACTTAGCAGCCCTTGATGATTGTTAAGTCATTTGGTCCAGATGAACTGCCAGATGTGATCACAATGACATTGTTATGTCAATAAACATTTATTAAGGGACTACTATGTTCTAGGAAATGTGCTGGGGGTACAAAAAAAAGACAGAAACAGTTCCTGCTCCCAAGGAATGATCATGGAAAATAGAAAAGGTACCACAAGATTCCAGAAAGGCAAATTTTGCCTTGACTTTTGTTTTTTTAAGCCTGGATCTCTCCATCTCATCCAGGCTGAAGGTGCAGAAACCTCTCATCAGTGGGATCACACTCATGATCCCACTACTGATTTGCATAGGAGGTTTACCTTGCTTCATTTCCAACCTGGGCCAGTTTACCCCCTTTTAGGTGACCTTGTGCCCCCCACCCCTGCTCCTGGGGTTTATCACACTGATGCTGAAAGTAGTGCAGTCACTCAATTGCATAGATCATTGTACCTCAAAACTTTTGAGTTCAAGCAGTTCTCCAGTCTTTGTCACAATGACCCAGCTGCCTTCTCACCCTGGAACTTCCCTCATCCCCTGGAGCCTTCTCACAGTGGAACATATCTCTATCATGCAGGCTCCTTTATCTCATTGATGAGTGCCTTCAAGGACCACAATTTTGGAGATAGACTGGGTAGCATGCTTCATTCCCCTACTGCTGTGCTTCTGCCTTCCCTAGACTTCACCATCACAGCTTCATCTGAGTACCTCCTCTTCCCACCTTTTCAGGGGCCTTTTATTGTGTTGTCTTCCCCCATTAGTAGATAAGCACCTCAAGGACAGACATTCATTTCTCTTTGCTTGTATTTGTATCCCTAGGACTTAGCACAGTACCAGCACAAGTAAGTGCTTAATGAATGTTTGTTCCCATTTTTATCTCAGCCTCCCAGGTAACTGGAATTATCAGCATGTGCCACCACAATTGACCTGCTTGTCAAAAAAAGAAGAGTCTTCACTATAAGCCATAGAGTTCAATTTCAATTATTAGGGAAATTCTAAAATGAGTCATTGAAGAGATGGTTGGCAAATGCTGAGAAAAGAAAGAAATACTTGCAAAGAGCTTGCATGGCTTCATCAAGAATAGGTCATGCCACACTAACCTAATTTACTTTTTTATGAAAAGTTGCTTGACATAACTGATACGAAAAGTTGACCAGTTTGAAATATGAAACAAATCCATTACCAATCAAGTGATTCAATTTTGTTAAATTCATTTCCAAATTACTTTACACAGAGAATGAACATCTCATCATTAACAATTCAAACTACAAATTTAAAATAGCATGCTTACCCAAGTTCAGAGACCAGCTTCTTTACCTTGAGCAGGGTGTGCTGAACCTGGGTGATGTTTCCAGGCAAAGGTTGCCCCAGGGCCCAAGGCCATTGCCAGTGGGACCGATGCTGTAGCTGCTGCCCCTCCCCCTCCTTCCTTTCCCCAGGTGGAGGGCAAAATCAAAGGTGAGGGGGAAAGGGTGAAACTCTCTTCTCCTATGAGAGGGGTTAACAGATACCCTCTTGACTCAAGGGGAGGGAGTGACCAGGGTTATAAAGAGATGTTTCCAAACTCCTTAAAGATCAATCACAAAACCTCCAGAATCTGCCAAGATATTTTTAGCTGTTCTGAACTTCTCCCTATAACCTCCATGAAGGAGGATTCGGAGGTGTAGAGGGAAGGGAGCAAGTAAGCCTCAGGGAACCAAAAGGCAACTGCAGTTTTCCCCAATTCCCTAGTGCTGAGAGAATTGACAAAATTGGGCTAAACTTCCAGATGAGGCATCTATCCTTGTCCTCTATGTTACGGAAGGTGTACCCAGGTCCATGGCTTCAAACCGACCCCATGGACCAAGAGCCTGACAGTGTCAGGCTGAGTGTGAGACAACCTTATAACGGTCAGCCCTAAAAACACCTCCAAGCCTTGGTGCTTGGAGAGCGACCCCAATTGCAGAGTAAGAAAGGAGAGGGGAAGGGGAGGCTTACATACCTTCCAGTCTTGGCTGGAGAAGAACTTGAGGCTAGGCAGTTTCCCCGTATGGGCCACCAAAATGTTGAAGTTTAGGGGTTCAGGGGTGGTGGGACCCCAAAATAACAACATGCGGGTCCTGCCCGAAAGAATTTGACCCAAGCCTTCTTTCAGCTAAAGACAAGTTTTATTAGAACATCCGTCATATTGGGCAGACTCTTAAGGAGTCTGAACATTAGTGAGCTAGTGGTGAGATTATAAGAATCCGAGCAGTGGCCAGATTTTAAGAATCTGAGCCCTAATTTGCTTTTTTGGCAAGGTTACTAAAGTAGCAGAGGAGGTAAATGCTGTGAATATAGTTCATCTAGATTTTTAGCAAGGCTTTTGATGAAGTACCTCATATTGCTTTTGATGAAGTACCTCATATTACTTTTGTGGAGAAGATGGAGAGATATGGACCAGACTCCAGTTCAGCTAACTGGATTCAGAATTGATTGGATGACTAGACTCAAAGGGTTCTTAATGGTTCAGTGCCAACATGATTGTTGTACTGAGAGTATACTGGGATATGTGCTTTTTCCAGTTCTGTATAACAATTTTTATCATTGGCTTGGGTCTTGATAGGCTAGAGTATTAGGTTCAAATAAGATGAAATGCAGTAGGGATAAATGTAACATCTTGCACTTAGATATAAAAAAAATCAACAAAATGGGAAAGACATGATTACATATCCATGTTCAGAAAAAAATTAGGGGATTTGGAGAAGTGCAAGCTTAGTATGTCTGTCATATAATATGGCAAGCTAAAACCTGATGTGATCTTGAGCTGTACAAAGAGAAGCATAGTCAACAAGAATAGGGAGGTGAGGGTCTCACTGTACTTTGCTCTTGTCACAACTTACCTGGAGTACTGTACCGAGTTCTGGGTACCATATTTTAAGAAGAACATTGAAAAACTGGGATACATCCATGAAGGACAACCCAGGATGATGAAATTTCTTGAGTTCATGCCATATTGGATCAGTTGAAAGAATTGGTTATGTTTAGCTTAAAAAAGAGAGGATTCAGGGGGAGGGGAGGATGACAGCTGTGTTCAAGTATTTTAAGAGCTGTCACCTAGAGGAGAGAGTAGTTTTGTTCTGGGTGACCTCAGGGGTTAGAACCAAGAGCAATGGGAGGAAGTGTCTAGGAAACAAATTAAAACTTGATGTCAGGAAAAACTCATAATAATTTGAGCTGTCCAGAACTGGAGTGTACTGCCCTGAGAAGTGCTGGGTTCTTCCCCCTTGGTGGTCCTCAAGGAGAGATTGGATGATCATTTGTCAGGGAGGGTTATGGCGGAAATTTCTTTTGTGTATATGTGGGACTAGAGAGTGGTTAAGATTCCCCTCAACTCTAAAATTCTGTGATCCTGTGACCTTCTAGGACCTTTTTCTCTAGGCCCTTCTTTCTTCATGTATAAAAATGAGAGCATCAGACAGAATGATCTCTAAGATCTTTGCCTTCCCTAATATTTTGTAATACTTTATGATGAGAAAATTTTTATCAAAGCCAGAGTATTGCAATATACTGACCCAATAGGACCAATTAGCGTGAGTTAATACCCAGAGTCACCTGTGCTATAAACATTAAATAATACTATACTAATCATTCTTTACATGCTCATTTTGACAGCACATACATTAAATTGGAATGATACAGAGAAGATTAACAGAGCCCCTGAGCAAAGCTGACATGTAAATTCAGGAAGGATCCCATATTTGTTTAACAAAAAACACATATTCTTTATATTTCTCTAGTAGAGTTTTTTTTTTAACAGTTTCAAAGTATTTTCACATCTATTTCTTCTTTTATTTTCTTACTTGACTCTGAAAGGGGCATTATTAATTAAAGCTGGTATTATTTTTCTTCGCCAGGCCTTTTCATCGTAATGAAATGTGTTAGTTTCATATCTGTCTGCCTAGTAGAGGAGATGCTCTGATCTCAGGTACTAAACATTTCTGTTTCCTTCCTTCCACCTTTGAATAAAGTAATGAGGCAACGCAGCACAATAGAAAGAGTGCTGAATTTGAACTCAGAGGATATGAATTTAAATCCTGGGTCTACTCATTACTATCTATTGGATCTTGGGCAAATGACTTCACCTCTGTAGGTCTCAGCAGTTTCATCTGAAAGATAATTAAACTAGCTGAGCTGACCTGCGAGGTCCCATCCCTATTCAGAAGGGGGTATAGTACTTCCAAACCTCAAACTACATTATAAAGTGTTAGTCATCAAAACCATTTGATATTGGTTAAAAAATAAAAAAGTTGATCAATGGACCTGACTAGCCAAGGGAGAATCAGAAATAGTCAAACTCAATAACTCAGTGTTCAATAAACTCAAAAACATAAATTACTTAGGAAAGAACTCTCTATTTGTTAAGAAGTATTGGGAAAATAGGAAAGCAGTCTAGCAGAAATTAGGTTTATGCCAACAACTTATACCATATTTCACAATAAATTCAAAATGGATACATGATGGGAATGTTAAAAATACTCTATTAAAAAATAGAAGAGAAGTATGGATCAGATCATATGCCTTTCATAGCCATGGACAGGATATACACATGTATGTATCTATATGTATATATCTGTGTGTGTATTTGTATGTGTGTGTGTGTGTGTGTGTATCTTTAACCAAAGTCAATTACAAGCGATAAAATAGATAATTTTGTTGCGTGATAATTGAAAAGCTTCTACACAAGTAGCATAAATGTATATAGAATAAGAAAGAAAGTGGTTGAATAGGGAAAAGAATCTTTATATCAGACTTATCAGATAAAGATTTGGTATCTAAGGTATATGGAAAAGTAACAGCAATAGAAAACCAAAAGCCATTCACCAAGAAATAAATAATCAAAGGATATAAGCAAACAGTTCTCATAAGAATTGCTATGATCAACTATATGAAAAAATGTTCTAAATCATTATTAAGAAAAATATAAATCGAAGTCACCTTGAGGTTTTACCCCACAGTTAGCAAATTGGAAAAGGTGACAAAAATGAGAAGTCACTCTTGAAGGAGTTGTGAAAAGATAGGTATACTAATACATAGTTGGTGGAGTGGAGCATTAGTATAACCATTCTGGAAAGTAATTTTGAACTGTGCAAATAAAGTCACTAATGTACACATACACTTTAACCTGGAGATTTCATTAGTAGTTATATATCCCATGCACCAAAAAATTTATAGCAATAATTTTTGTGGCAGCAAAAACTAGAAACAAAGTAGATGCCTATTAGAACAGAAATTGGTTTAAAAAATTGTGGTACATGAATGTAATGAAATATTATTGTTTATTGAGAACTGACAAATGTGATAACTACAGAGATCCATGGGAAGACTTACATGAACTGACGTAGTGAAGGAGGCAGTATGCAATTATGATAGCAATACAAATGGAAAAACAACAACAACTACAAAACAATAGAAAATGAATGCTACAAAATTAAAAAGAACAAGCATGGCTACAAAGAATAAATCTCTCCCTACTTCATTGCAAAAGTGGGGAAGGGAAGCATCATTGGTCTGGATAAATTGCATGTACTTAAGGGCATGTATTGATCAATTTTGCTAGGTTTTTTTTGTCTTCTTCCTATATATTTTTTCCTTTAAAAATTCTTTGATCTTTCAGTTAGCTTTCTAGAAATGGGGAGGAGAGGCATATAGGAGGAAATTTAGAGAATGTAAAAATATCAATAAAATTTCTTTTTCAATTCTTGCTCCTATTTAGCAAGCATTTAATAAGTGCTTCTCGTGCACAAGCCAGTGCAGTAGGTGCTATAGATATAAGCACAAAAATGAACCAGTCCCTGCCCCTAAGAAGCTTACTTTGTCCATTAAGTTAGTCAATCAACAAACATTTACTAAATGGCTACTATTGGCCAGACACTGTGCTATTTGCTGCAGATATGAAGAAAAGCAAAAGGTATTCCCTACTTTCAAAGAGTTCACATTCTAATGGAGGATACAGTATATAAATTATTATGGATATGCAAAAATATATTCATAATAAATGGAAGACGATCTGAGACAGGAAGTCATTAGCAGCGACAAGCCTGCAGAAGCTAGAATCTAAGCTCAGTCTCAAAGGAAACCAGGGAATCTAAGAGGCAGATGTAAGGGGGGAAACAGCCAGTTCAAATCCATGGAGACTACAGATGGAACGTCATGTGTGAGAAACTCCAAGTAGGACAGTGTTGCTTGATTGAAGAAGAACATGTATTGAGTGTTTATGAAGTACCATGTTAAGCATGGTCATTACTTGTAATGTCATGTCTTGGGACATGACAGATTTAAGAAGTTTCAACTGCAAGTCTGGTAGATAGTCCAGAGGTTTTCAGAGTAAGGTGCCAAAGCAGGTGGCAGTGCATCCTCTTTAATGCCATTCCTATTGATAAAACTGCATCCATTTCTGAAGTTGAACCATTCAACTATACCATGGACTTGGTTAGCTAGAACTTTATTTTCTACATGTTCAGCAGCTGTGAGCAGACAAGGGCTATAGCTCTTGCATGCATACATATCAGAAGGGAAAGTAGAAAGATTTCTGCAATTGTAAAAATATAAAAATGAGATAAAGGAAGGAACTCAAATTTATTGCTCCAGAACCTCTATACTCTTCATAATCAGTCAGTTAGTCAACAAACATTTATTAAGGCTTACTATGTATTAGGCACTGTTTTAAACCCAGGGAATACAAGTATAAGCAAAAGAAAGACAGTCTCTGCCCCCAAGGAAATTAAATTGTAATGGGGAAAGATAATTTAAAAGGAAGCTGAAAGGGGGCAAGGAAAAAATGAAGGTATCTAGGATTGGGGCATGGCAGACAAGTCATGAGGCCAGCCTGATAAGATATAATGAAATGGCTGGCCTGGGTTCCTTTCTTAAATGGAGGTTCTGGGACATACATGGTATAGGTTAATGAAGGCACAATTAAGACACTATAGGTCAGAATTAGCATACTAAGGTATGGTCAACCATACCATCAGTACTGCCCTCAACCTAAGAATGTTTTTTTTTTTTACATTTTAAAATAAAACCTGAATATATTATAAAATGTAAAAACTATTCTCAGCTCATACCTTATAAAACTGGTGGTGGGATGGATTTGACCCGTGGCCATAATTCTATAGACAAGGAATAGAAGAATAGAATTGAGAATAAATTACAAGGGAATAGAAAGAGAAAAGGACAAGGAAAATGACAAATTTTGAGGGAAAAAAGGTGTAACAAAAATTGTGATTTAAAGTAAGAGATGGGGGGGTAGATTTTGAACCACATGCACATTTGGGTATAAAATGGGAAGAGTAAAAAGTAGGAGGGGCAGAGATTAATTAATCATTTAAATAGATAGAAAGAAAAATGAACAATTTAAATAAGGACTTGATATAAAGAAGATAAGTAAGAACTAGGTGAAAAGGGAAAGGTGAAGGAATAAGCTTGCATTAAAGTACTGTAAGCAAAATAAATCACATAAACAAAGTACTAACTCTGAAGAATAAAGCAATAAAATCAATACAAAATAATTAAATGGATGAACAATACAAATATAATAATCATAATTTTAAATGTGCATATATTAAAGAAACTAAATAAACAAAATAGAATTGAATGAATAAATAAGAAAATAAAATCCAACCATTTGCTACATATATTTAAAATAAAGACACGCAAGGATTGACACTAAGAATGAAAACAAGAGGCTGGAACAAAATTGGCTATGCATCAAGTAACTCCAAAAAAGCAGGAATTTCAATTGTGCTTCCAGAAAAACAGAAATAATAACTCATGATGTCAAGAGAAACAGAGAAATTACACTATGCTTAAATTGACCATGGATAATGAAAAACAATCAATATTAAATGTGTATGAATCAAATGGCATAGCATCTAGATTTGTAAATGAAAATTTAGCTAAATTGCAAAAAAGGCATGAATAGTAATACAATTTTAGGAAACTTTAATATTCTTCTCTCAGAGATGGATAAATCTAACAGAATGATGAACAAAAGGGGCAATATAAAATAAAGTGAACTATTGAAGAACATGTTGAAAAATTTGCCAATTCTTCATGCGAACATTAAAGAATATTCATATTTTTCAACATTACATAGTACCTGTGTAAAAATAGACTGTATACTAAGGAACAGTGAAATTATAAAGGCAGAAATATCAAACATATTCTTTATAGACTATAATACAATAAAAATAATAAATGATATGAAGAATACATTCAAAAGATTCAGGACTAATTAAAGACAATAATGACATCCTCAAAAATATGGATGAATAGTCATATAAAAGAAAATGATAACAATGAGACGACATATTAACATTTTGAAAATGTCTAAAGCACTTGAGGGCGTCTGGATGGCACAGGATAGAAGGTCATGCCTGGAGTCAGGAAAACTCCTCTTCCTGAGTTCAAATCTGACCTCAAATATTTATTAGCTGTGTGATCCTGGGCAAGTCACTCAACCCTATTTGTCTCAGTTTCTTCACCTGTAAAATGTGCTGGAGAAGGAAATGGCAAACCACTCCAGTATTTTTGTCAAGAAAATCCCAAAAGGGGTCACAAAGAGTTGGATAGGACTGAAAAATGACTAAACAACAACAAAAAAGCACTCCTTAGAGGAAATTGTATAGCTCAGAAAACATATTAATGAGATAGAAAAAGAGATGCTTGAGTGGGAAATTAAACAAAATTGGATAATGAACTGA